TGATTATACTTTAACGTGTTTAATTCATTCAAGAAAAGCATCATCAGGAATATCAGCAAATCGTCTCAAGCGTTTAGATATGAATTTAAAATGTTATTTCAAATTGATCATTTAATTTGTTATGTTCGAATAGTTATATTTGTTTATTTGCAATGGTTTTATGTAGGACAAGAGTAATTATATAGCTTAAAAACACGTGTTTCGTTAACCAATCTTTATCAAAATTTTGAAAAGAGGATTTATAGAATAATTAGATTTATATAAAAAAGGTAAAGAAGAACAAGACATAGATTATCTTGGCAGTATGTATAATTTGGATTTAATTAATCGTAGTTTCGGTTTTTGGAGTATTAGAAAATGTAAACAAAAATTAAGTTTTGTATGATGTTTATAGCTTATTAGTGGAGATATGTCCTCGGCAAGAGATGGCTTAATCAGTGTGAATACTAGTCGACACTAAGGTTTTCGGTTAAGTCAGCGTTAAGCAGAACCGGAAGGCGATTAGAACATGACTAATAGAAAAGATGCGATCGTTTGCATAAAGATTATTTAATATCCTTTGTTTTATTATGAATCGTATGATGTTGGATGTAAATAAAATAATTGAACTTGATCCTTTTCGTTTCAGTTGTATTTGATGTTCAAAAATACTGAGTTGCCTTCTATCAATAGAATCTAGTGGTGTTTCAAAACATCAACACAAACTATGTCCAATAGGATTCATACTGTAATGATAAATTCAGAGAGAGGTCTAGAAGGATACATCCTCTACTGACATAATACTAGAACAATATCTAGTAGGATATATTCTCAAATAATAAAGCACAAGACGATGTCTAGAAGGATACATCCTCTACTGACATAATACTAGAACAATATCTAGTAGGATACATCCTCTACTGATATTAAGCAGGAACGTTTTCTGGTAGGATATATTCTCTAATGTTATAACCCAGGAACGATGTTTATTATAATTCATTCTCAAATGATATTACACAAGAATGATATCTAGTAGTATACATCTATATACAATTATGGACTTTTTACTTGGTGAATATGCTCTGATATTGACAAAAAAACACCATATTAACCGAGGCGATCGCGGAGGTCAATATTTGTTTTTCTGTGATCAATATTGGGAGCGTATTCACAGAGCGTATTCACCAAGTAAAAAGGCCATAACTGTTTTATTATAAAATAATCAATGACATTAGTAAATTGTTGACATATTTTATTTGAAAATATTTAAGATATTTTAGTAAATTTTAAAACAAAATTCAACAAAAAATATCGATAATGATAATGTCCATGTTCTTAAAATAGCGATTCTCTCCATGGCGAAACGATGTAAGTGTGGCCTGCTTGTAATGATCACGGTTTTTATTCTGGGTATCTACATAAAATTTTGCCAAAACGTTGCTGAGTTCTGACGGTGTTTACAAGTACTGGCAAAAAAATCTAACGGCTCCTTCTGTGGCCTTCCGTGTATCGATGAAGCCTTTCTCTTCCCAAATTGCTTGAACATCATCATTTATGGCAGTGGCAAATCGTTGTTCAAACGAGCTAGCATTATGCTAAGCTGTCACTGATGCCATTTATTGCCCGGATGTTTTTGTTCTTTCCAGGTTCTATAATTAGAATAATTTGGTACTCACCGGATTTCACGAAGACCGGTGAATATCGATCTTTATTGGCCGGGTTGTGGAAGGCTCTCGGCCAATCAGAATCTGTTTAAAAATCAGTTTTATAATAACTACTGATATTTCACAGGAACGATGTCAATTAGGATATTTTTTGTAGTGCTATAACACAAGAATAATGTCCAGTAGGTTGTATCCTCTACTGATAGCACCCAATAACGATGTATAGTAATGTACAATATCTAATGATATAAAAGAAGAACGAGCTTAAGTAGGATACATCCTCTACTGATATTACATAGGAAATGTATTCTCTCATGATATTACACAAGAATGATGCCTAGAAGGATATTTTCTCTAATGATTAAACACTAGAACGGTGTTTAGAAGGATACCTTCTCTATTGGTATAACACAAGAACGATGTCTTCTTGGATACATTCAAAATGATTTAACATCAGAATGATGTATTTTAGGACATTTTCCTTAACATAACACAAGAATCGATGTCTAGTAGGATACATTTTCCGATGATGAAAACAAGAATGATGTCTAGTAGATTTTATCGTCTAATGATAAAGCACAAGAACGATGTTAAGTAAGATGCATTCACTATTGATATAACATAAAAGCAATGTCCAGTAGTAACATTCTCGAATGATTATAAACAAAGATTATGTTTAGTAGGGTGCATATTCGAATAATATAACACAAGAACGATGCCTTCGCGGATACATTAAAAATAATTCAACACCAGAATTTAGGACACATTCTCCGATGATATAACACGATAGAACGATGTCTAGTAGAACAAAATATAGTAGGGTTTGTTTTAGAGGGGTGATTCTCTATTGATATACTACAAACATGATGTTGTTGATACGTTTGGGTTGTTGCAGATTGGTACGGGTTCTTACAGACAACAACAAGCATGGTCTACACAGTGGACCGCCATCTTAGCTGTATTATCTCGAAACGAGGTTCCACAAACAGTCGGTACATGTAATATTAGGAATGATGAATTAACGGAAGGCAATCATCAACAGATGTCTAGTATGATATATTCTCTATCGAATAAAACGCAAATAATGATGTCTGCGGAACTCGATTGTGGTGACTCTTGCCCCTTTTTATAAAGAGGATTCTTATTAGGAAAATGTGAAAGGGGACACGCGAGAGAGCGACATGATGCGAGCAATATCGTCCAATCAGACACAATGTTATAAAGATAAGGTTTAATAATATTTTGTTTATATATGCAAAGACGTAAATTTGTTGATCTATGTGCTTACATAAGAGTTGAAACTTATTTCCACTGTAGCATTTATTATACCATTTACGAGTAAGTCATTGAGTGAGTCTAAAGCCACATTGTGTTTCAAGAAAGCTTATGTTAGACCACTGCTGAAGAAGACTGGAATAGGCAGAGTCGATTTAGAGGATAACTGCCAAGTATCAAATCTACCGTTCCTACATCCAAGATCTTGGAGAAGATTTGTATCCAGGCGTCCAGAGGTTCATTTAAATGCAAATATTCTCCATGAAAACCTGCAATTGGTCTATCGCACGGAACACTCCACAAAGATGGCTGTCCATGATGACATATCGCTGCCGCCTTGGATACCAACTATATAGCAATCATGCTGGAGTTGTCCGCCTCTTTAAGAGAGATTGACATGGCATACATTTCAAAGGTAGGACCTACTCTTATGGGAATGATGTTGGTGCGCTTTCCTTGATCCAGTTCTATTTTAGTAAACTTCAGATGATAAATGTTTAAATTTCAGGGTTATTCATGATCAGTGGTTGGTTAAAGGACCACAAAAATATTGCCATCATTCAAAAACACATAAGGCAGATTTGCCATCGTGATAACCTTAAATTTGCTGTTACGCTGATGACACAAATCTGTATGGCACACAATTTAACGAAGGAATTTCATTATAAATAACCTTAAACTCTCATACGACTAAAGGAATATGCACTAACATCAACATAATGATTTAGTAGTAACTCCGTATTATTTTTTGTGTTATGTCATAGCTCCGTGTTTGTGTCCCTTGATAAAGGTGCGGATTACATTAAAAAATGTCAAACTTGAATTGCCCTCATTGTCATTATTACCTCTTTGCTGATATAAACAAACTATAAGGCAGAGTTGCTTTCTCTATTTGTATTCATCATCTTCCTGGACAGGAGCTGATCCTAATGGGTATGCTGCTCCAGCGAATTATAGCGTCATGGTAGAAAGAACACACTTACATACTTTATAAACAAATCTGGCACAAAACAATGCATCATGTTAAAAACGCTGAAGAAAGTAATCAAATTTGAGTTGTTTACTAGCTTTTGATGTAAATTTGCATAACGTAAAAATGTACGACACACCTTAACTTGCATGTATATTCAATTACACAAACTAAGACGTTATATTTACTCTAAGCCATGTTTAATTGTTTAATTCATTAGTTCGTAACTCATAAGGAAGCCAGGGATTAGTGTTATTTATTCTTGTTGAAAGCGGATATTAAGGTGCGATGCGTTTTAAAGAAAATTTCAAGGATGTTATCATTGTGTGACGCGGTCTGCTGCGTCATCAAGTTGCTATGGTGTTGACACATGCAGGTTGATTTCAAAGTTAATTTTGAATTTTATATTATTAAAGTGACTCTATTATATGTATCGTTGACAGCAATTTCGATATGAAAATTAGGACTGTTTAGTATACCACAGTAATGTAATAACTTATGTTTATATTTTATACGGGTTGATGGGACATGTAACCATGTATGGGTGCATGAAATACAAAATAATCTAAATGATTTATACATTTCCTCTTCTACATGTACCATTATTGATTTAAGGGAAAAGAAGAAGTTTTTTAACTTCTGTCTAATCTCATTTGGGTTTTTGCAAATAAAATATGTTTAAATCAAAATAATATTTATTAGCGTTTCGTGCGCGTGTGTTATAAAAAATCATTACAAAATCGTCATTTAATGACGTAACTAACAGTTGTATGAAATATGAAGTATAGCTACTGAAATATTCAACATTCGAAAGAAAACATTAATACTAAAGTTATATGATGGAAACGGGTAGATGACGAGTTTTGTCATTTAGGTGATGCCGATCTAAAATAAAGTATACTGTAGGATTCTTGGACACGTTGCACATATTGTATGTTTATCTAGTATCTAAATTTAGGAAATCAGAATTAACAGCATATGATGTTATTTCTGCAACAAAGAAAATGGAAGTTAGTTAACGATCGTGTGTATGTGTTGAAGCTGTAACTGATAAAAAGAAATATGAAATGTAACAGTATTGATACAAAGATAATGTCTTTATTACCCTTTTTGAATATATATTTTGAAAAGTTTTGAAATGAAGAAACTTGACAGGTGCTTTAAACTCCATGTGTCAGATTTATAGTATGGAAATATACAAGTTCATCAATTGTAGTCTTCCTTTTCTGTGGGACTTGAATGATGTCATAATCAATAAGCATGCATGCATTTCAAACAGTTTTAAATGGTGCAATTTGTCAGCAGCGGAAAGGTAACCCTGCACACCCTAGGCAAGCCTCCTACATGTTCTACGGGGAAAACCACAAGTGATGAAATGCACTCTCACATCTTCATATAAAAACCTTCATACGGAATAAGAACAATATCTGCCTGTTTCACGATGTACAGCATGCTCATTTGTAGAACCGAGCATCACTTGGCACCAGAATTACAATCCATCATTTCTCTCTTTTGTGACGTTGATATCATCTACAGCACTGAAGCCGTGTTAGTCGACACACTTTTGACTCTGTAATCCTCTACACCACTGAAACAACTCGTTATCCTGCAGTTCCAATCCTCGATCCCAAAGATGACCATGAACGTTCGACGGAATTTCTTCCCAACACAAATGTATATTATAAAGTTAATGCTAGAATTCATCACATAAAGAAAGTTAATGATTACTGTTAAATTTGTTTGCACGGAAGCGTTTGCTTTTTCTTTGTTTATCAAAAATTGAAACTGATTGAAAAGTCCAAGCGTCTGACATATTGTGAATACGATTACGATAATCACTATCAAAATCGTGGTGTTCTCTTTCTTCACTCGTGATGAGCAAGCTTCCAGCGATCGTCTTCGAGAACGCATCTTGCTGAGCTTCCGTAGAATGAGAATGTTCAGCGAGAGGAGAGACAACAGAGGAATGCCAAAGTAAATGACAGTGTACATCCATACAACGTACACAGACTTGTAAAAAAATCCATTCCCAAAATCTGACAGCTTTATTACATAACAATCAAGAGGATAAGACTCGTCAAAACAAGAAGTTAGCTGAATTTCAGTAGATATTATCCTCGGCACATTGTAACACAATGCAAAACATATTATCCCGGCAATAGAGTATAGCACCTTTTTCCTGGAATGAATATAAATGTGTTTCATTGGATGACAGATGGCAATGTATCGTTCAATGGAGACGAACACCAGAATATATTCGTTACACAACTGTGAGGTAAGGGCCAAATAGTCTATAGTCTTGAATCCATGGGGCAAGAGGACATGGAATCCTAAATCCCGGTGTACAAGCTTAGACACTAGAGTAGGCAAGGATAAAGCGATGCTGGCAAATGTGACCAGAGCAATGTCAGACACAACTAGAGCCCTAAGGAACAAATTGGTGATGGACGCCATCTCTTTCTTCCATAGAACAATCGCTGTTATTATATTCCCTATGTAGCCGAAAGTCATCACAACTGGAACAAATATCCCGTATGTGATGAACTCAAGATCTTCTTGTGCTGGTCCGGTATCAACTGTTTTATTACTCATTTCAACATCGAGTGATTCCGTTACGTTGAAAGGCATTGTTTAAGCTTTAAGTTTCGAATTCAACTATGAGCAACGATAACTTAGTATCATAACCTCATCGTTCCGTGGTGGTATATGTACAAATGTTTTACATATATTAGATAGATCGACTAGTTGATCAATACTGATAGGACCGCTCGTGTATCATAATTGCCATCAACAACATATTAGTCTAGTAATGGGACGAATTAGGATTGTCTGATTGGACCTTACAAAAGAGATGCACTGGCGAAAAACCAGTAGCTTCCAAAAAATGATATGATAAATTCCAATATCCAATTGAACGAATCAAGTTCTAACGATTGCGAGCCTCCCAAAGGAGAGTTGAGCTTTGTCCCACTGCAATTAATTACAAAAACACTTTCCAGAGTGTTTAAACATCACAAATAATCACCGAAATATTCCAGTAAAATTCCAGTAAAAAGGAAACAAGAGTCACACCATACCATAAACCTTAGATCCTAGAATTAATGCCCAGGTTATCACTACACATTATGATCAAATCGTAATAAAATTGATCACACAAGCTCATTTATGGTTAAGTTCCATCGGGATACCTGTGATGTGATGTTTGTTCCCAGTAGCCCTTAATGATGATATTACGGGAATGGCACTGAACTCCTGACGCCTTCACTAATTGTATTACCAGAATATTAACTGATCCCCTCTTACCGTCTGTGTTGTTTATCATTATGTCTCGTTTAATTTAAGGCCGTATGCATCCGCAATCTGTCATCATTGTCAAATGATTGATCAGACATGAGATTTTGTACGCTGAAAATAGAAGATAACAATCCTTTATACATTTTTTGGAAGTACTTGTGGTTATATTTTCATTATCTAAATGGCCTTATTTCTCTAGCAATCAAATAGATAGGTCGAAATACAAGGTACGTGTTCGAAAGAATTGTTTTAAAAGATTTTCGTGAATATATTCTTGATAGACAAAACAGAAACTGGAAATAATAAAGCTTGCTTGAATTGTGTAACGGTATATTCATGAATATTGTTTTCATTTATTAACAAAATCACTTATTGTTTAAATTAGGCACAAATAGATGACCAGAAAATGACTAAATACCAAGGAAATCAGACAAACTAATCCATCTAATGCTTTCGTCAACTCGGCACACTGAAACAATATTTCACAGAGATATATATGAAGGCATTAAATCTTACGCTCATTTTCATCAGTTATGGATTTTTCGTGCCAAACGAGATGGTATGAAATACAGGTATTACAAAAAGGCCACAATATAACAAAAACTAGATAAACGCATGATGCATAAGATAAAAGTATTTCACCTTTTGTGTTGCGTGTAATGTTTTCTTATTATTCGTTGAATGATTTGTTACCGTGGTTCAGTGGCTTTCAAATAAGGATCAATGTGCAGCTAATGTATGGTGTAAGGGATGGATTTCAAAAGAAATCAATTTCACAGTATATCTCACAATGAGTTTGACAATAATACGGTTTAGTTCGATGAAAGGCGCCCGTTTCTAACATCTTCGCTAGTAAACTGTACACAGTTCGATTATACAGATACGTTTAGTTCTTTTGTTATTACTGCGCATGAAATAGAAGCGTCTTCAACCAACGACATTTATTCTTTAAGTATTCGTGAAGATAACATTTGACTAAAAATGAGTTTTTAATGCAAATTGTTTTGTTCTTCATGTATATCATATATGTAAATACATGTTAAAATTCGGGGACTTACATAGTAGTACTATATCTATGTCTTTCCCGGAATTAATTTTGCTTGTTTTATTCTCTGTTACTACATGTACATATATTATAGAATGATATATGTAAATGTGTTGTTAGTCATAATAAAATACCGTTTTTATCCTTTGACAAATTCCTGACGTCCAGGTTACTGCATTAATTATTTCCCCACGGACTAGTGCTGCCATGGAAATGACACAGCTAAATTATAAAAGGAAACGTAACAATATTTAGATAGAGAGTTATGTTTTCTAATCAGCCTAAAACTCCTTTTATATCTAGATAATGATAATTTATCATACTAAAGTTTTTAGTTTTAAGGTGATGCATCACCTTACACATTTTACATTCATTTGTTAACCAATAATGCCCCTGTAACCATGGTGTAATAGTTCAGTTATCTGAGTGCAATTCTTCATGGATGTGTTCTTTTGTATCTTTAAAACGTGTCTTAAAAATATCATAAACTATATTTAACATCATAGAACATTTGTTGATTGGAAATACGGAAATAAGATTAACCTCATATATGTTTTTGTATATGTTATTCTTTTCAGCTATTCAGTTGGCAAAACTTTAAAAAAATCAAATAAATACAAAGAATCATTTACCAATCCCCTCTAAGTGTCTGTCTGCCTTTCCCTTTCTCAGTCATTAACCAACCCCTCCTCTCAGTCTCTCCCTGTCTCTGTATCTCCCCCTCCCTCTCTCTCTCTTTGTTCATGTCTGTCTTTTTGTGTGTGTCTCTCTCTGTATGTCTGTTTCACTCCCTCTGACCCTCCCTCCCTTTAGTTACATATAATTATTACAATATATATTCACGTGATAAATTGTACATGATATGTAGACTTTACACAAGTACATAGCATTAATAATTTGGACATGGTCTTTATACAGTAAATAATTTAGACATACATACATGATAATTACCTTATACAGCTTCCCATGACCTACTACAAACGGGACTGTCATACGAAAATAAGTAGTCTAATGAAAGATAATGGATGTCATTTGCAAAGGCAGTGTTCCAGCAGAGCGCATGTAAGTGTAATAAAACAGATGTATACAGTTATTTGAGTAATTGTATTCACTCTGTGGGACACCTGCGTTAAAACTAAGTTGAATAAGATAAAGCTAGTGATATTCTGCTTAACATTCGAGAAATTGCAAGCCAGCGGTTCCACAAGACAGTTGGAAACGACAGTAACTATTGAATTAAACTTAAAGGATAATCCATGATCTTCTATCAGGCTGATAAAATCTCGATTAACGGATGCTTTCAGTACATTGCGACAATATTAAGTAATTCACTTCTGAATAGAAAATAAAGTAAAACATATCATAGGTGCTGTAAGCTTTATTTTATTGTTTAGATGTGATGTGGAAATCAGCATGTAAACTAAGTGAAAAACAATACTAGTCATGTCATCAAAGGATAAGAATTTGAAAATATTGGTAAATGTTCCCTTTGGGGCCCCATCCTACTCCTGGGGATCGGGCAGGAATCATAATTTTATAATGTAATACCCTCATTCACCAAAGATGATTCTGACTAAATTGACTGTAGTACATCTGAGTCTGGAGAAGAAGGTTTTGAAATATTGGTTAATTTCCCTTTGGGGCCCCGCCCTGGACCCTAGGGTTGGGGTAGGAATCTCAATTTTACAATTTAAAACCATCTTCCTCCAAGGATAATCCTCACCAAGTAAAAATAATTTCTTACAAAAAGTTGTCAAAATATACACTCTATAAACTATAGTAATCTTTACCCCCTATCCAATGGAGAACGGATAGCTCGGGGATCCTGAAATTTACAATTTAAATAAAGCCCCTGATGATCTTTCTTTTTATGCACTGAAATTGAATGTAGTACCTCTGAGTCTGGAGAAGAAGATGTTTGAAATATTGGTTAATTTCCCTTTTGGACCCCGCCCTGGCCCCAGGGTTTGGGGTAGGAATCCCAATTTTACAATTTTGTAGCTTCATCTACCAAGGATGATTCTGACAGAATTTGAAAAAAATCCATCCACTGGTTCTTGAGAAGAAGTTGAAAATGTAAAAGGTCTACGCACGACGGACGACGACGGACGGAAAGCGATTAGAATAGGTCACTTGAGCAAAGCTCAGGCGACCTAAAAAGTATATCTATTTTAGTTGATCAATGATTTACCTATATTTCATTCATTATTTTATTTGAATTTATATATTAGTCAATCTGATCCATATCTCAGTTAATATAATTTGTACTTAAAAGATCCTACGACAGTATACGTTGCCATAGAGGTTGACATTACATGTTTAAGGTATACAAACATGTAATACCAACCTCTATGGCGACGTATACTGTCTGAGGTATATCATCGTTTGTATGGACAGCGGGATAGCCTTTCCGCGTCCGTTGTAATTTAAGCTTTGCATCTCTTGTAAATGTCGCGAATGAGGCATGCAATCATTAGTTTCCGTTGTAATTAAGCCTGCTATAGTGTGTACCCTTTGTCATCGATACCTGTCATTCTTTGTATACGTTGCCACTGGCGGTGTGCCACCCTTTGTATACGTTGCAACTGAGGCCTGCCATCCTTTTTATACGTTGCAACTGAGGCCTGTCATCCTTTGTATAAGTTGCAACTGAGGCCTGTCATCCTTTGTATAAGTTGCAACTGAGGCCTGCCATCCCTTGTATACGTTGCAACTAAGGCCTGCCATCCTTTGTATAAGTTGCAACTGAGGCCTGTCATCCTTTGTATACGTTGCTACTGTGGCCTGCCACCCTTTGAGGACGTTGCAACTGAGACATGCAACAATTTGTAGACGTTGCAACTGAGGCCTGCCATCCTTTGTATACGTTGCAACTGAGGCCTGCCATCCTTTGTAGACGTTGCAACTGAGGCCTGCCAACCTTTGTTGACGTTGCAACTTAGGCCTGCCACCCTTTGTATACGTTGCTACTGTGTCCTGCCCCCCTTTGAGGACGTTGCAACTGAGACATGCATCAATTTGTAGACGTTGCAACTTAAACCTGCCACCCTTTGTTGACGTTGCAACTGTGGCCTGCCACCCTTTGTTGGCGTTGCAACTAAGGCCTGCCACCCTTTGAGGACGTTGTAACTGCGACCTGCTAACCTTTATAGATGTTGCAACTGAGGCTTGCCACCCTTTCTATACGCTGCAACTGAGGCATGCTATCCTTTGTAGACGTTGCAACTGAGGCCTGCCAACCTTTGTTGACGTTGCAACTTAGGCCTGCCACCCTTTGTATACGTTGCTACTGTGGCCTGCCCCCCTTTGAGGACGTTGCAACTGAGACATGCAACAATTTGTAGCCGTTGCAACTGAGGCCTGCCATCCTTTGTATAGGTTGCAACTGAGGCTTGCCATCCTTTGTATAAGTTGCATCTGTGGCCTGCCATCCTTTGTATAAGTTGCAACTGAGGCCTGCAATCCTTTCTATACGCTGCAACTGAGGCCTGTCATCCTTTGTATAAGTTGCAACTGAGGCAGGCAATCCTTTGTATACGTTGCAACTGAGGCATGCAATCCGTTGTATACGTTGTAACTGAGGCCTGTCATCCTTTGTATACGTTGAAACTGAGGCCTGCCATCCTTTGTATAGGTTGCAACTGAGGCTTGCCATCCTTTGTATAAGTTGCAACTGAGGCCTGCAATCCTTTGTATATGTTGCAACTGAGGCCTGCCATCCTTTGTAGACGTTGGAAATAACGCCTGCCATCCTTTGTATAAGTTGCAACTGTGGCCTGTCATCCTTTGTATACGTTGCAACTGTGGCCTGCCACCCTTTGTTGGCGTTGCAACTAAGGCCTGCCACCCTTTGAGGACGTTGTAACTGCGACCTGCTAACCTTTATAGATGTTGCAACTGAGGCTTGCCACCCTTTCTATACGCTGCAACTGAGGCATGCTATCCTTTGTAGACGTTGCAACTGAGGCATGCCATCCTTTGTATACGTTGCAACTAAGGCCTGCCATCCTTTGTATAAGTTGCAACTGAGGCCTGCAATCCTTTGTATATGTTGCAACTGAGGCCTGCCATCCTTTGTATACGTTGCAACTGAGGCCTGCCATCCTTTGTATAGGTTGCAACTGAGGCTTGCCATCCTTTGTATAAGTTGCAACTGAGGCATGCAATCCTTTGTATACGTTGCAACTGAGGCATGCAATCCGTTGTATACGTTGCAACTGAGGCCTGTCATCCTTTGTATACGTTGCAACTGTGGCCTGTCATCCTTTGTATACGTTACAACTGAGGCGTGCCATCCTTTGTATAAGTTGCAACTGAGGCATGCAATCCTTTGTATACGTTGCAACTGAGGCATGCAATCCGTTGTATACGTTGCAACTGAGGCCTGTCATCCTTTGTATAAGTTGCAACTGAGGCCTGCCACCTTTTGGAGCCGTTGTAACTGAGACCTGCCACCCTTTGTTTACGTTGCAACTGAAGCGTGCCACCTTTTGTATACGTTGCAACTGAGACACGCCGCCATTTGTAGACGTTGCAACTGTGGCCTGCCAACCTTTGTTTACGTTGCCACTGATATCTGTCCTCCTATGTACACGTTGCTACGGGGACTTTCATCAGTTGTTTACGTTCACACTAAGACCTGCCATCAGTTGTAAAATTGCCATTAAGGTTTTTCATTTCCCTTTGATTCGTTGCAAATTTGGACTTCGATCATTTACGTTATTATTAAGCCTGCCCTATTTGTTTCGCTATAGTTTGTTACTCATTTTGCACTGGCGACAATAGCAGCATGGCCTCTGTCAGAATCTACGGTATCTTAGTGTTGTTTATGATTTTATTGGGGAATATTAACAAAGGTAAGTTCCTTATAAAATGCAAATATCGCCGCTTTGTTTATGTACTTTCAGCACATGAATCAGAGGCATATGGTAAGCTACACGATGTAAATCCCAACAAATGTCAGATGTTATCATTAAAGCCTGCCTCGTTTGTGTACGTTTACACTGTGGACTATTTATTTTAATGTCAGTGCTATTTGTTTCGCTATAGTTTGTTACTCATCTTGCACTGGCGACAATAGCAGCATGGCCTCTGTCAGAATCTACGGTATCTTAGTGTTGTATATGATTTTATTGGGGGATATAAACAAAGGTAAGTTCATTAATGCATATTAATGACTAAATCTTGAATATATTACATGCAAATAGCCGCTTCGTGTATGTACTTTATCACATGAATCAACGGCATATGGCAAGCTACACTTTGTAAATCCCAACAAATGTCAGATGTTCTACCGGTTTGTTTCGCCGATACTGATCAAGTTTTAGATTTTACTTCCGAAAGTATATAAATCATGTACTATAAACTCGTTGCGTTCATGTTCCTCATAAATATGTTGAAATCGTAAACATGATAGCACCAATGTATACAACACCTGTAGAACATTTATTTGATCAGTTGGTTTGTTTTTATTTGTTTGATCATCGGTGTACCGATATTTCATTTTAAACCTGTATACCTATATAGTTGAATAGTTGATCTTTTTAGTCTTGATTGATATATATATATCATTAATACAATATATCGTTTCATCTTTGTTTCACTTAGTCTATAAATATTTCAACTTGTCAGAATTTTAGTAATTTAGTTGATTTTACTCTTATTTCAGTTTATCTATCTTTTTCCAGAAAAATGTATATGTATTAATGCATGTTTGGCAGTTTAATTCACAATAAAGTTACAACGCACAGGTTGGCAACGATACGTTCATATAGGTATTGCATCTTGTTCATTGTTGAAGCTGATCTTTGCTGTTATTACAATTCAAAACGATGAATTTTATAATTGGTAATTGATAATATTTTTCTATTCTTTTTATCAACTGCTCCATTTATACTAAAGACAATAGCAAATGAGACAAAAGAGCACATCAGTATATACCAATTGTCTGCACGCATGTCAAGTATCTATCCTCATCACATACTATATCATCATATGGCTGGTTGCGTAGAGTGACGGCTGTGAAAACTACATAAATATACCATTGACTAGTTCCAATATCTACCTATCGAGTTTACATTAACAGTATGCGGAATTCTGGAGAGAAAAGTCGGTGATTGGCAGATGATATTCCGTGCCCGAAGTATGAACGGTCATTCAGTGATCAAGACGTATATGGAACAAGGCGTGGCAAGCGAGCAGACTGAAACAGCGCCCGGATGTGTTTCTATAAACGCACGTGACCAATGCGGGAACAATTACAGACACAGTATGATTGACAGATGGGATAGCTCAGGGGTTGACAAGGTATAAAGGGCCAACTGCTTTTTCAAAGTTGCTTAATTGTAATTGTAAACAGCATTAGAGATTTTGCCCCGTTTACAACAGTCACGTTATGGTTAGCGCACAAATACTAAATAGATTGATGAAATATGTACATTAAGGTATTTCA